CCGAAAAGTTCGTTAGTAGAGGCGTTTGTATCCCAAGGTACCATTGTATTTGGAAAGGTACATACTGTGATGTTTCATATTTTTCAAGATACAGAGAAACCTCCTAAAAAGTTAGAAGTTTAACATCATAGATGTCTGAAATTCCATCACAATCTTGAACAGGAGTGGGACAGATGTATTTTTGACTTTCCAAACTTTCCAAGTTCTGGTATTCCTGGTCATCTCCTGTAAAAATACTAACCAAATCCCTCCCTGCTTAGCTTTTAGAGATCACCCAAGGTCATCTAGGTGCTGTCACTTAACTGAGCAGTTATTTACATTTACTTATTGAAGTATCTATATCTAGCTCTTCCAATATCAAAGCATCACTCATGGTGGCTTTCAACATTAAAATTTATAACAAGGATGAGCCACAGTTAAAATCAAAATGTAAATTTGATAGAAAAACAGTTCATAAATATTATATGGTTATATAATCTCATTCACAACTGCCCAAGTATAGAGTAGAAGAAAAGTGTTTGATATCCTGATTTGCCTCCAGGAATGGTTATATGGTTCTTCCACCTGCACCCCATTTTTTCACGGCATCAATCCTGTGGTTGGATTAAAAGATAAAGTTTGATCTAAAGTTATCTACTGAGGTGATAAGTTATCCAGTTGAACGGGGATTTCATTGCTTCAGTTCAACACTCTAATCATTATACCAAAGGAGGTTTTTTTTGGGGGGGGGGGGTCTTAGAAAAAAAAAGAACACAGTATGCTGTGTTTCTAATTAGGAATTGCCTGAAACATGGAATTTTATGAAATGGGGTAGGATGCCATGTTTTCCCTTATGCACCTTCCAGTATTCTCTTCCTATTTCTTTTTTGTGAAGTATAAAATTCAGCAGAGAAATGTATACTCCATCTTAATAATTAATTTTCTGCTGAATAGTAAACACTTGAGCAGAAAATAACATAACTGACACAGATCCAATTTTCCCTCTACTTCTGATACCAGGAAACTGTTGACATGCTGTCTGCTTTATCTGATGGCTCTTTACCATCCCCGGTACAAGAAGAATCAGAGAATGAACAGGAGGTCTTGGAAAATGTAATGTTTACAATAATCTAAACTTCACTGGCAAATAGTGACCATGTAGCAATTGTGGGAGAATCTGAATCTGCACAGTGGACCCAGCGGGAGGGTTAACCCACTTACTCTTCTGAATGAAAAAAATAATATTTCAAAAGTCTTTCACATTGATGGGAAGCTTTTATACAACTAGGACTCGTTTTTCGTAAGGGAGAGAGAGAAACTGTACTTTGATTAGCAATGCTTAGCAGACCTTAGGGAGGCAGTGGAAAACCAGAGCTATTGTCAGATGGTTCTAAGGGACTGGATGGGGGAAAGCAAATTAAGGCTTTATCCAAATACTGTAAGACAAGAGGTGCTGTTCAATAGGAAGCCATCTAGATGCACAGCCTATTTTGAAAAAAAATAGTTTTCCACTTAAACCCACTTCTTGCACTAGCACTACTTTCAAATGATCAGTGGCAACAGGATAAGTTTTGTCAGCTTAGGCTTGTGCACCAGTTGCACCCACTTTTTGGAGAAGTCAGACCCAATTAAAGTCACCTATGTTGTACTAATCTCTAGACTAGGCCAATGTAAAGGGGTCTGTTTGGGTCCACCATCAAAAAGTATTCAGACATTCATGTGGGTCTGCCACAAAATTAAAAGAAATTTAAGTTGTAGAAAATATGCTGCTGGACAGTTGACTGGAATTGATCCATTGGAATATCATATTTAGCTCTTGCCTTTCTCCATATGTATTTTATTTTCTATTTTGGTCAACATCTGTAGTCCTGTTCTGTGTATCTCTGCTGGTTGACATTTGGCAGAGATCTGTGAGGAGTGATCCATTGAAATGCCCTCACTGAAAAGGTTCATCGAGCCTCTGAATTCGGGGCCTTTAGGCTCTTCAGAAAAATGTGTTTTCTGGGTATGTTTTCTTGGTGATTTTTCTGTTTCTGATGCTTTTATGAGTCTTTTGCTCAGCTTGTAATATCAATAGAATAATAAAATTTAATTTGTATTTTTTATCTGAATTTGATTTGCATTAGTGTTTGCTCATTTATGTGTTGTAAGCTATTTCAGCTTTGTTTAAAAAATCCTTTAAGGATAATCAGATATAGTTTCAAAAAATTAAATAAGGTCTCTGATACTTCTATTTTATATGTGCAGTTATACTGATACTTTTAATCAACTTTATTAGGGTATGGCAAATTTAGCTATGTGGTCTGGTTTGTCAAATCAATTATGTTGAACAATTGTCCATAGTGAAATTTCCTAGAGAGCATGATAACTAGAAGACATGGTCAGGAAGTTTGGGAAGTCATTTATGAAATATGTCTATCTTTATTTTTTATGCTTCTTTTTATCTTCATTCAAGTGAAATTTATAAATAAGTAATTGTTTTGATCTATAATTTAGAGACCTCGGACAAATAATTTGGACAACGAAGAACAAAGAAGAAGTAAGAGAATGCTAAAGCTGTTAAATACTTTCCGGGTAAGATGTTACCTAACACAATAAGCCTTTCTTCATCTGTTAATTATATTATAACTGAAATGGCCTGGCAACTCCAGTTTTAACAGGCTGTAAAACTTTTTTTTTTAAATATACAGTACATAGTTTTTAATTATTATTTTTAATAATAAAATATAGAAAACAACATCAACAGAAAAAATAAATGCATCGTGATAAAGGTAAAACCCTAAATATATTATGGTGATTAAAATAAACTAAATGTGAGGTGGGGAAAGACTAATGAGCAGAAACAATGAGAGAAAAGATCTATATAATATCCATGGACATATCAATATAAATTAATTCAATACATAAGCATATGATTAAATCTAGACCATATGAAACATGTTGCTGCATCTACTCATTTTAGAGCACAAAGACTTTTCAAAAACAGATTCATGTCCTGAATCTGTTCCTTGAAACCAAGAGGATATTTGTCATTCTATTTCTGTAAAATTATCCTCTTTGCCGCAGATTCAAGCCGAAGCTCTTCATGAGATGACAGATACCATGTTTTAGAAATATAATCCAATTTCATGCTAAGGTCCTTAACTATAATAGTTCTCTTTATTAGGCCATAGTACTAGCCTGCTCTTATTCCTAAACTGCTAGTGTGTGAGGAAGTGAAGCTGGGATTGTTGTCTGCGCTTGGTTTACCCTTATCCTGCTTTTTCTGAACTGAAAAACAAGAGGGCAAAGAGAGCCAGGACAGTTTATCCTGATGCCAGCTGACTTGCACTACCCTTTCCCTAATATTCAGTTGGAATGATCTTCAAATTGGCAGAAAACTACACCAGCCTGAGCTTTGATGACCCCATTGCCAACCCCTATCATGCTTCTGTGGCATCTGTTCCCAGTCACTGCCCATCACCTCATTTAGACAGTGTCAGAATAAGGGGGAAAATCACTGGTGCGACTATGGACAATTTAACTTTTCTTCACTTATCAACTGTCATGGGGACATGGCAGATGTTGCCAGGTGGTTTGAGCCATGGTTAAGTGCAAGTGGGGCTAGGCTCAGTACTCCACTAATGTTCCCTGTCGGCAAAAAGCTTTCTGCTTAGAGTTCATTATAATAAACACCATATTTACATAATTCATGTGTCTTGATTGCTTCTGATAGAATCAGGGCATTTTGACATCCCCAATTCTTTCCACCTCCAGTTCCTCACGAAGCAGGTTGAATCTGACTTGCAATCAATTTCTGCCAATTAGAGGCCAGAGAATACATAAGAAACACCATTAATGCACATTTTCCAGCTGAGCAGTAAGAAAGTGGGAAGAAGGTAATCTAATCAGTCTTCTCTCCCAGACTGGCCACTAATAATAACAATCCCCTCCCATTTGATCTGCAGAAAAAGAAAATTAAATCAATGTCTAGTCACATCCTATCTGTATTTAGTACCTTATTTTGACCCATTTATCTGATAAGAGATTGCTATGAGGTAAATACCAAAGGGGTCCACCATCTTGCCGATTTTGACATGTACAAACCTCTGAGTAAAATAATCACTAGTCAGGAATTCTCTGAGCACTTTCCCTAATATTTCAGACCTTAGTTCCGGTCTGAAATATTTTTATGAGATTTGCTTGAGAGGAGTAGCCACTCTATGATTTTATTGTAAGGCTACCAGATATGGGCTGTAAAACTCTGGACAGCCATTGGATGGCAGCAGCAAGATCCATAAAATCATAATTCTTGTCATCTAGTGGTCATAGTAGTTTTTACAGCCCAAGTCTGGTAGTGCAGTAGTGCAGAACCTTGTGCAATAAGTGACCAGGTAATCCTTCCTTGCAAGTAGACATATTGCAGAACGTGGGTGACCGGTGATTGCGTTGGTGTCATACGTTCTATGTATGAAGGGGTCAATGTAGGAAAGTCGAAGAGGAAGTCACAGAATCTAATTGCTGGAAACAGCAATGAAAAAAGACTTTAGCTAGTGGGTTGGCTCTTGTAGCAGGATGCTTGACAACATAGGGCTTTTTTTTTTTGATTCTGCACATTTGTTTTTCTGTCTCAGACCTGCTATCCCATTTCCTATCAACAATTATTGGTCCATATAAAATGCCAAAACAACACAGCCTCTGTCATAAAGCTGCTTACTGTACAGATATAGAATTAGTCTCATCTCATAATGCATCTGTCTTGGTTGTTTGTTTCTTTTATTCTCCTTTGCAGCACTTTGAACAGAAAGGAACAAAGTCTTTCAGTTTTCTGTCCCTCTGTAGGAGCAAGAACAAGAAAGAAGTTGCAGCAAAGTTCTACAGCTTGCTTGTTCTAAGGAAACAGCAAGCTATTGAGGTGGCCCAGGCTGCTCCCTATGTTGACGTTATAGTGACTGCAGGCCCAAAGTTTCATACTTTCTGAAAGCCAGAGAACGGCCCCTTTGAAACATGGGTTGTTCAGACTGAAAGCCGAATGCTGCCTCTTGGAAAAATTCAGCATCCCTTCTCTGAGTCAAGTACAGACTAGTACTAGTGAATAAGTCTGTGCCGTTAGGTAACTAGCCCGCCTAGCAATCAAGCTGCATGCTGCAAGTTAGGAAAAGTATGGTTTTTACCAATATTAATAGTTACATAGACTACTTGTTTCTTCATGTTTTCATAGGGAACAGAAACAAGTTTGTTTATTTTCAGTTCTTCATGCTTATTTACATAACTGCCTGCTTTCAGGCTTTCCCTGGAAAGGATAGATGTGGAGCATGGACATTGTCCCCACCTCTATTTTTTCTCAAGCAAAAGGTAATACGGGTGGGGTGCCAAATCCTCCCTTGTGCGAAGTTAATCTTGTGGTCTAAGTCTCCTGGCTGGCTCTTTTCTTCTTGTCTAAGTTCCAGTGCTGAAAGCTGGCTTGCCCAGGAGAAAGCATTGGAGGGAGTAAGGACATGGTAAAATAATGTGGAGAGATTTTAAACTGTGTCTGTTAGAATATTTATCTGTGCTAGTTTTAACTATGGGTTTTATTGTATGTTATTTTATTCTTGAAAGCCTTGGTCTGTAATATGTGTGTGTGTGTGTGTGTTTAATTTATTAAATTCCTTAAACACTATAGAGAAGCATATAGAGACTATAGTTTGGTCAGTATAGGATCTGCACTACAAGCTTCAGCTACAGCATCCATGCCAGGTTCTGTCCAGCCTCTGCTTAAAGACTTCAGGGGAAGAAGAGTCTGTAACATCCTAAGGCAATCTGTTCTACTGCTGAACAGCTTCCGCGTTAGGAAGATCTAAAGGTCTGTCTAAAAATCAGATCATGCTGGCCCTGTTTTCATATGTGATTTGGAATGACCACGGTGCCAATATCTGGATTTACTTGGCTCCGCATAAGAAAGTTGACTCTGACATTAACTATCCAAAAGGAACATCTACAAATTCCACAGAAGGGACTTGAACTGAAACACTTTGTTTATGTGTGTGTGTAGGTGTAACACGAAACTTACCCTGTAGAATTTCTTTTTTATTCTTGTTTAAATTCTGAGATGTTAGGAAAGAGTAGAGAATACTCCAGGGGTAATCCATATGCCCCACATGTACTCCAAAGGGATGCCAGTCTGTTACTGGTGTCAGAAAACGACAGACACGGGTTCGGTTGTCCAGTAGACAGAAGTTTTTATT